TGCGCGCCCAAACAGACTACATCGTGTAGGGCTACATGTGCAGAACTCCACCTTCATAACTTTCCCCTAAGTGCCAAGAAACGTTGTCACCGAGTATAGAGCGCAGGCTTCCTTTGCTGAGGCGGCGTCGGTCAAACTAAGGTCCCTAGCTGAAATTCTCCTGGCACTGCGGATCTTCTGTTGCCTGTCATTACTGACGAAAGTGAATAAATGTTTCAAGGCACTTATTATCAATAGAAGTGTCTTCATCGGCTGCCGATACTTGAATTTCAGCCGACTGCATTGATATGGGGTCGTATACTCTGATCTGCTGAGCCGCCATTGCCGGGAGACGCCAGCCAGCAGCCGCGCCGCTTCTTCCGCTAAGTAGGCTTAGCCCCAGGGCCATGCGGCAAAATGTTCGATTTGGCGTGAAAATTCCCAAATTGGTCCCAGCTGCATAAATGGTGTTTCCCCTGGGCTCTCTTGACTTTAGGAACACGATAAAACCATATTCGTTGAACAAGGCTTTATTTCCACAAATATATTGAACGGTTGACTGAGTTGAGCAGCCGCACGTCCAGTTGCGTCATGTCCGAATTGCGTCTGTTGACGCGGCGGCTGCCAGCGTCCGACACGCCAGTCGCGTGAACTCGTTATGTTGCTCGCGAAGCCCAAGCTATGCATGAGCTGCACGAAAGGCGTGGCGTGGTGGCTGAGGAAAGGTCGGTGATGATGAATGGTGAAGATGATGCAACGGGCATATTAACATCGTTGGCCAGTTACACCCTTCTGAAGGCTATCACTACCTATTGACGTGTGTAGATCGTTTCAGCCGCTGGCCCGAGGTGACTCCTATGGCCGACATGACTGCAGCGACCGTCTCAGTGACTTTTGTTTCAACGTGACTATCCTGATTTGCTTGTCCGGCGATGATTGTACCAGACCAGGGCCACCAGTTTGAATCTTACTTGTTTTTTTGAGCTGCTTAAACTTATTGCTAATTCATGCCTTCGGACAATGTTATATCATTTGCAAAAAAAAGAAAAAAAGTGGCCCCGTTAAGAGCTTCCACCGGCACCTTAAAGAAGCACTGGCAGCACATAGCTGCCCTAACCAGTTGGTTGAACACCTCCTTCACGCTTCTCAAAATTCGTTGTTCTTTTTAAAAAGTTCTCTCCTGCTTTCCTTCCGAGCTTGTTTTTGGCACTTCATTTCGCCTGCCTGCAGATTTCTTCGAAGAAAGAGGCAGTACCACCCGGCTAACAGCAATAGAGTACTTCCACGAGACGTGCGACGTCTTTCGACACACTTGATATGAATCACTGAAGACCTCAAAAAAACAAACAAACCACCAGGCCTGCGTGGAAGGCGCAGCACAGTCACAGCGAAAGCTAGAAGAGCAGCCTTTCAGAACATTTTCTAAACACTCATTGGGTAACTACTGCGAGGACACTTGCTTGATACCCACTTGGTCATTATCATTAAACTTATTTAGGTAGTAGGTCGGCATTCGCTATGCTGTTTTCATCATTCTTCTGAGAAGCGTGGTAGTCGCTAAGCACTTTCAAGAAATTTTTGCTCATTGTTCATGCCGTGACTGACGACGATGACGAAGAATGGCTGAAGCAGGTATGCGCCACAGTAGATAGGGAAACGAGAACAAGCTTTTTAATGGATTGGAGCATTGGACAGCCCACTCGTAACGCTAGTCGCATTGTGCGACTACTGGTTGTTCTTTCGCTGTTTTAAAATGGTTTATAAGTCATAATAACGCAATTGTTTTCCCGCCATAAAGCTTTCGTAAGGCAAGTTTCACACCTAGTCACAAGCCTCGGTATAGCTCAGTGGTGGAAGACTGGGTTGGCACCCAGCGAACCCGGGTTCAAGCGCCTCTGTGTCATCGGTGCTAGGTTTTTTCTAGCTTCACGCGAGTTGGTTACGGACACCGGCGGCGGCGGACAACTGCGCGTGACCCGAGTAGTGATTTCATAACAGCTTTTGGTGTTAAAACAGTCTAACTTCTAGGAAGAGAATTTCGCGGAAATGGTAACGAATTTCTTGAGCCTAGAGAGGGCACCGTTGCCGACAACACTTTGCCTTCACCGACTTCTGCCATCGCCTTGAGCCAGCGAACAGTCGAGAGTAAGAAGCGAGTGGATGAGAGAGTGGGACTCCAGCATTCTCCGTTCTGTGTTGGCGTTTCACAGCGGCTTCTCGAGCACAAATTTCCGGATGTTGTTGAGAGGCGCCTAGCCAGCGAACGGAGGTAAAGCGCACGTGCCCACAGCTGTTTCAATAAGAGACAGAATGAGCGTGGAAAGAGAGAGAAACGTCTTTATTCACAAAAGCATGAAGAAGTAGGGCGTGGGAGGATACCTGAGTCTGGGGTGCCTAGGATGACTCCAGCGACGAGCCGGGCCCACTGTATAAGAGTTTGGAGGACTTCGGGAGGTCCATCTCGGAGAGTATCATTCCACAGCTCTTCGTTGCGTAAAGGGTAAAGGAAAGCAGGTGAGGGAGGAAAGATGTTTGCAGTGCACTTGATGGAGACATGGAAGGCCGTGGGTGAGTTTGCACAGCCGGGGCAACGGTCTGCATAGCAGTGCGGGTAGAATTTCTGAAGTGATACTAGATTGGTAATTGTTTTAGTCTGTAGCTGGCGTAACGCTACTGCCTCACCTGGAGAAAGATGGCGGTTGGGCGCTCTGAGTGCGACGGACGTTCCTGTAGTGACGAAGAATGTCTTTGTAAGTGAGAAGACGATCCCCCACTTTAAAATAGTCGCCTAGTCTTGCTGGGCCGCCCGGAGTGAAATTTTGCGGTCAACAGCGTGTGCGCGTTCAATCATTGCCCGGCAGAGAGGCATGACCATGATTCCAGAGTAAGTGCATGTGAAAAAAACTGTTTGACTCAGTTATTGAAACTTGATTGAGAATTCGGCGGGCTGTTTTTGGAATGCCATGTCCTGATAGGAAGACCCGACGTGCCTGTTGCTAGTCTGTCAGTATGTAGACCTCATTGTGAAGACGAATAGCGTATCGTATCGCTAGCGCGACTCCAAGAACTTCGCCGTGAGAGGCATGTTTCCCACGCATTGCAGCCGAGTCCTGCAGAGAATCGGTGCCATCTAACACTACCGAGGTGTAACCTTCGCGAGTTTGGGCTCTGTCCGTGTAACGAGTGTGCGATTTCAGGATGTCGTCAAGCATACGCCGGGCTGAGGTATTGTACGCGGGAGTCGCGCCGGCCCTTGTCATGTTGGGGGTGCATGTTACGTGGTAAGGGATGAACAGTTAGAACTTTATGTATCACAGGCGATAAAGGCGTGGGGCGGGTTTCAATCTCAAAAGGTGGGACGGGACATCCGAGGCTTGAGAGGAGATTGTGGCCAGTAGGGTGAGTAGGAGGCGTTGGCGCTGACTGATCTAATCTGCCTCTAGCAGCTCCCTTAGTGTGTTGCGTCACCCCAACTTTACAAGAAGACGTGTTGAAGTGCAGTTCGGAACACTGTGGGCCAGCTTTATCGCTTTGTGGATCATGGCGTCTATGCGTAGTTGTTGCGATTGGGTCAACCGCTTGAAGGGCAACTGATACGTCAGCCGGCCGATCACGCAGATCTCCACCAAGCGCAGTAGGTCTTCTTCTTTAAGCCCTGAGCGCCGTATTGAAACCCGCCAGAACATGGACAGTTTTTGGTAAACTTGTCGACATAAAAGTCCAATGGTGTAGTTAGTTTTGCCATCCGCTTGAACATGTAGTCGAAGGATGCGGGCATGAAAGACATGTGGTATAGGTATGCCGCCCACATGCACAATAATTGGGAGAGGAGGGCTACTGCTTCTGGAGCGAATGACGATGAGCTCTGATTTTTGAGGAGCACAATGCAAGCCTCCTCTTTGCAAGCACATTGCAACCCCCATGCACGCCGCTCGGTCCTCCGGGCACCATTAAGTGTTAGAATGGTCGCCACAATATAGTGGTCGCTGCCAAGGTGCTCCTCTAGAGGACCATGTGCTGCCACCGGCCTCGTATTGTGTACAAAGTTGAGGTCAAGATCGTGTCACGTACTATACTGTTTCCAACACGAGTGGGGCGCTCTGGGTCAGTTAGTAAAGTGTATCTCTTGCTACAAATATCATTCTACAAGCGTGTTCCGTCGACCTGCGATTTGACATTACCCCAAACTGTATGTGGAGCATTGAAATTCCTTCATACTACGCGAACCCTTCCAAAACTCAAATTTCATGAGAAGGCGGTGAAAGCAGTGCGTACGCGGATGAGGGGAACTGTACACAGGTAGTAAAAACAAGCTTTCACTGTTCGAGCTTTGCGCAATTATTTCGAATATTTGGTGAGGGATATCACTACAAGTGGTATGCACGCAACGTGTGACATGTTTCGAAACTAATGCTCCCACAAGAGGACAGGCACCCGAGAACGTGTTGTAGCCTGATAAAGAAGGCGGACAATTACGTTCTTCTAAGAGGATAACATCAGGAGCGTCAGTGGATGCGGCTACATACTGCTGCAGGGATCTCCGCTTTCGGCGGAATCCCCTGCAGTTTCATCACGACACCCCTAGTTGTGGCGCATCACACGACGCCATCTTCATCGCGGGAAGAAACAGAAGGACGTGTGTAAGGGTGCGAGTGCCGTTCACCCGGACTGGATGTTGACGGCCGAGAGATTTAATCAAATTTAGTCTCGGTAGTTTGCACGGTGTTGGCACATGCGAGCTTGCGTTCTATACATGACTGGACGCGCTCCATTATCTCAGTTTGAAGTATTTTCATGCGGCGTTCTATCCTGTCAAGTGCACCCTCCATACTGGTGCTAATTTCTGCTACGAGCGCGTCCATTTGCTTTTACAGGCGTTTGCAACGCTCCTCCATGTCTCGACATAGGCGTGCTATTTCCGCGAGAGGGTCAGGGGTCGAGGATTTGGTGATCTGAGGGGACGTGGTGGGGAGTGACTGGCGGGACGGACCAAGCTGTGGGGGACCCTCTACCTGACATACCTCCCGATGAGCCACCTTGGTCGCTTTCCGTTCCGGGGCCCGCTGCTGCTCGGAGAAAGCGTGCACCTCCTTGCCAACAGGCTTGCTCGTCAAAGCCTTCTTGTAGGGTTGTCGTGTAGATAGGAAAGGAGCGCGCGTCTTTAATGGGCGCCGTGATTCCTCGCAGAAGCAGGAGCGGGACTTGAGGCAAGTCCGGGATTGGGAGCAGGTCAGGGATTGGGAGCGGGTCCGGGACTTGAAGCGGGTCCGGGACTTAGAGCAGGTCTTGGACTTGCGACGCGATTTGGATCGGCTCTTGGAGCGCGACTTTTCTGTTTTCGTTTGGGTGCATGAATGGTGGGTCTCAGCTATCTTGCTTGACACGGTATATCATTGGAAGGTTGAAATTCACGCAGTTCATTTTCGAGTGTTTTCCGCACTTATACCTTGTTGAGTACTTGCCTCTCACGCCGAGGGCAGTTTGAATCCGTCGTAGGGTGAGGTCCATCACAGGTTTTGGAGTGGGTAGTGCACGGATGCGACTGGGTGGGGTTGTCGGTGCTGCACGTCGGGCATACGACAACGTCTGGTGTAGGGCAATGGTCATCCCGATGGCGCAGCCTAAGGCAAACCTTGCAAACCACTTGTCTGAGGCGATTGGGGGTAACAACGTAGTTCGGTCCCATAGAAGCGTATGTAGCGAAGGACCTTCAATCCTTCGAAAGCGACCAACGCACTGTTGGTCTGACCCATCATGCGTGCTTGAAGTATTTAGGTTGCAGGAGCCACAAGTTCATCTACTAGAGTGGAAGACGACGTACCGGGCGTGATGCCAGGAACAATACCCTTGCAAGAGTTGTCCACAGCCGCAAAGTATGTGATGATAGGTTAAACAGGCTCACCGAGTCTGAGCTCTTGCACACTGGAGAACGTGTAGGTCCCATGGGACTGGGGCGTGCTGATGATTGCTAGGTTTTGCAGTGGTCGCAGTCGGAATATGATGTCCTCGCGGTCTTTGGTGGTCAAAGCAGCAGCAATGCAGAGAGCGCCGGTGAGTTCAGGGCGCGTCCACCTATCTAAGCAAAGCCCTCATGAGGGCGTAGAATGATCTTTTCATCGTGTATAGGGGGCAAATGCTGCTTCCCACTCTGCTCGCGTGCGTTGCGCTGAAAGGCACCTGAGATTCTCTCACTTGGTTGGGTTTTCTTAAGGGTGTTCAGTTTTTAGGTGCGTCGCTTCTTGATGATGGTCTTCGAACAGCTACCTCTATCGTCGTCAGTGGTGTGGCAAGCAGAACAGTTGGAGACAGCATTGTCCTCCATTCTTTCTCCAGTAAAAAAAAATGCCCGCAGCTTCCCTCGGGGGAACACTGAGGAGGATGCGGAGCATATAATTGGTTAATGGGGTGTTAAAGTGCGACTTACTTGGGTCGATGGCTAAATTGGTTAACGTGGTTGTGAAATGGGGTGTTAAATTGCGACTTACTTGGGTCGATGGCTAAATTGGTTAACGTGGTTGTAGGAGGGGGTGTTAAATGAGTGAACACCTACACACGTATGCGAAAGGGCGGCGCTGGTCGAAGGGACGTCGATCATTGTGTTTGTGGATTCGTTGGAATTCATTTCACCGCGACCTTGGACGTCGACGCGCCGTACAAACCAACCGACGAGCGGCAACTGAGCGAGCGAGCGCCGACCTTGAGTATATATACAGCGCGACGGCGCATGCACTGTCAGCTGTCGAATGTTCGAGAAGGGGGAGAAGCGCAATGGCGCATGCGCGCGCGTCAGCTGCCGATGTTCTCGAAGCGCGACGGCGCATGCGCGCGCGTCAGCTGTCGATGTTCTCGAAGCGTGACGGCGCATGCGCGCTACATATACAGCTAGCGAATGTTCGTGAAGAGGAGAAGCGCACGCGGTGTGTAGAGGAGGAAGGGTGCACAGATGGTGGAGGAGTGAAGCGCGCGCGGTGTGTAGAGGAGGAAGGGATGCACAGATGGTGGAAGAAGGAGGAGGAAGCTTGCGGACGGCGCCGCACTACAAGCCTCGAGTATTAGATGCTCCGCATCTAAAATGTCATTTTGTTGTCCGGAAAGAGAGCTGGTGAAAGCTGGATCAGAGGTCAGCCCGTGTGCGTTCCGGTTGTCGTTACTGCCGCGCAACGCCCGGCGGCGTTCTCCATCGCTGACGACGAACTTTGCTCATTGGAAGACGGCGTTGCGGTGGTTGAATGCTCCATCGACACAGTGTCGTGACTTGGCTGAGAGCCCTTCGCACTGATGCAGGCTTCGGGCGGGTAGTACGAGACGCGCAAACCACGCCACAGTAGCAGCAGCCATGTAGGGGCTGTCTCAGAGCGTCGGAGTCCCACGCATAGATGGACGAAAGATCAACTCACTGCGACAAGCTTGGCTTTGGTGAGGTCACGGCCACTTGCTGAGTTGAAAGGTACCACCAGCACTTAGGCGAAAAGTCTCACAGTCGAAAAATGCACATGATGCAGGCGAAGAAACGGGGAGCGTGGCACGAGACACCACGGCGCTTCTCCCGCAAACACAGGAGCTCCGAACAGCACGCCCGCTCTCCACGAACACTAGACCAAGACTCAGAGTGGAGAGATAACACCTGCCGGCGCGCGGCTGCCGCCAGGGATGCCGCCGCCGGGTGCTTGACATAGCCCGACTAAGAAATACATTTGCATTTAAAACAGCGATACATGTGTTCGTGTGAGATGGCCCTCTGTGCATCCCGCTTCAACCACATTACCTCGGCCCATTCCATGAGCTAGAGCACTTGTCTGCTAGCTTCTTCGTCGACATCAATGGGGTACGCGATACAATGACGCTGGAGTGGCTCAAGCCCGCATTCAGTGAAGCACCCGATCCTAATTGTCTCACCGTGCCTCCCTCTACTCGGCACGAGAACCCCTCTTCGCCAGTGTTCCTCCCGTCACCACCACTGCCCTTCATTTTTTGGGATGACACCTCAACTGAGAATCGTTCGTCGCCAGTGATGTTCCGTACTAGGAGGAAGAATTCCTATTCAGAGCCAGGAAATCTTCCTATTTCGGGGATTCTTTCCTGCAGACGTTGACGAAGTTCCCAGCATATTTTCATGCAAAACAGTACTAATGTCCGTCTTCTTCACCCACACTAATACTATATGTATGCGTGTCTCACGTACTGGCGACTTTTGAAATCATGACTACCTGCTCCACTATTACTCAGCAAAAGCACTACGTTATTATTTCATACACTGTTAGCACACTGTACGTTGTGGGCTTGAAGTCTAACATCAATAGTGAACTAGAAATCACATCGCGCAATTTCCAGAACTGATTACAGCAGATCAAGACGCACTGCGACCGCTAATTACCCTTCATCATAAAATTTAAGCGTTCCTGCAATTACCTGCAATATTATGAAGATTCGCTGTTCTCCTTTGACTCAAAGTGACAGGGGACAATTACCCGAAAAAGGGAAATTACCTGCATAAAACGTCAATGTCATCGTCAAATCAGCTTCCTTTCTAACCCCTAGTTGACACTGGAGCATCCACTATCTACAGCGAGTGAAATTCTCTGGCCGTTGGTAATTTGCGCACGTCCTGCGCCACCGACTAAGCTATCTACCACGGGGTGAACGCCGGATGGATGCGCTGTTACCCGGTGGTTGTCGCCGCTCGCAAGTGCCACTACGTTATCTGGTGGTTTACACTTCGATGATTCACGTACCCAGGAAGGAAGAAAAAGCAGCACTGCTTACTTTGCCGGGAAGTCGCTTCATGAAGAGCAGACAAAATGCATGAAGAGCAGACAAAATCACCGACTCCAGCGGTGTTGGTGAGTTCGTCTTGCTCTGCAAGACCGCGACAAGCTCTGTCAACTCTCCCACGAACAAGGGGCGTGAAGTAAGTACAAAAAAATTAAACACCCGTTGATTACATCATTCAATTATGTGCACTGCGACATCACAAATGAGTAGGACTTGGCCGCCATTTTCCTAATTGCCTTGGCTAGCGCTCCCCGGCGACCGATGCCGCAACAATCGGTCCGAGAGTGAACGGCGCGGAGAAAGCCCTTTCGTCGGATATCACGGCCGCTGACTCGGATTCGCCACACATGTGGTGGTCGGCATGCCGTGTGAATGCGCCTTTCGTCTTCCTGGTTGACAGAATAAAGGATACGTTGTTATTGAAAAGACGTGTGCATCTCGTAGTACCTGGCTCTACAGTTGCAATTTTTTGCATGCGCTTCTATGAACGTGGCGCTGAAATATCGTGATAGCGCCTTGTACACGGCAAAATATTTATGAATTTTTGTGTGCAACATGAACAAGTAGATAGGATGGATACATCAGCGGCAGCTACTAACTGATACTGCCATAGTTAGGCTCGCAAAGCGGATGAAAAAAAAACACAACATAATAATATGCTTAGACGTACCAGCCGGAGAGGGAGGGGGGTCAAGGGAGGCATGGGCCCCTCTACGGAGACAAGTTGGGGGGCTGAGCCTCCCCACTTTTGACATTGGTTACTGTAAGTTGCACGCTGGGGAAACGAACATTTATGGCGTCATTTTCCTTCACAACAATAATCACTATATTATATTTTATGACAAAATAAAAATGTTCCCAGAGAATGTTTTATTAAGTAAATTTTTTCCTAAATTTGTAGCGTGACGATTGTTCTTGAGTGTTCTTTGCAGTGGGGGCCGTCTATGCTACTCTTTCGCACCTTGTATTCTGTTGCATTGCAAAGCGGGCTACAGTAGAAGGAGCGAAAGCGTCTTGTACTTGCTTAGAATAAGTGGGAACAAGCAATCGTTTTAGAGACCAGTCTGAGCATTCGCTGTTTCAGAAAAATTGTTTTCTTTCATCAAAAATGAATAGCGTCATCACTGCTTTATAAAAGCTGCTGGGAGCCGATGAATGTGACGAATCTTTTTAAATGCTTCGGTTCTGTTGTACTAGAAGTGCCACAAAAAGGTTTGCACTTTAGTAGCTGGTAAACCTCATCAGTTTTGCTTCGGTAACTAGAAACGATAGCAGCAGTTTGCAAAGTGACAAAGAATAGAGCAGTGGACTCGAGTACAATGGCAAGCTCAGCTTCTAAGCTCACCCCGCAGCTTCATGCACCGGACCACGGAGAAGGTAAAAAAGCGTGGTTTTTGCACGATGCAGGCCTAATTAGGGGTCGGACTAGTCAGCTTTCATTCAACTTGAACTGTCTTCTACAGCTCAAAATACAGCTTTGACAGATAAGAAGCACACACGAGCAGCACTGCTTATTTCTCTCTCTCAGCAAGGATGTAGACAGATGTACACGCGCCCATACACTCAAAAAAGCTTTCCAGAGCAACTGCGCAGAGTTCAGGAAAGGGCTCTTTGCTCTTCCAAAGTATGAAATGTGCGCAAAAGATTTCACACGGAACATCAAGGAGGGCCATTTCCTCCTTGTGGAGTAAAGCACCCGTTTTTTGGGTAACAGCCACAATGTCCACGCAGTGTGCAAGCGACTCATCGGTGCGCACAAGCCTGTTTTATTTCAAACAGTTCTGTAGCGTGGTATGGTGTAGTGTTCCGGAAATTTCGATCACCGGGTTTTTTTT